TAGAGTTGGTTGGTTACTGCTGTAAATATTTGCGTATCAATTATAATTTGTTGGTACATGGTTTTGTGGAAAAAACATGGTACCATATCACGTTCACCCCTACATCCAATGACTCGCTCTGGACATTTCCCAATTAAGTTATTCGGCGAAGTTATACAAGGTTGGATTGGTCGTTTAAAGGTATTTGAACAATCTAACATGATGTTTGCAGTTTGAAAAATCTCAATCTAATCCAACCAACTCAAGCCATGCGGGTTGGGTCGGTCGGGTTTATCAGGTTGAAACTTTGATACATCATTTTACAATAGCTAAACGTTTGCGTTTAAATGAAGTAAAATAAAAAATAATAACATAAAAGGCTAAGAAACTCAAAAAAGAGTTGAAGGGTCATAGAAATAAGAAATAAAGATTACTTGAAATTGTAATATATAATTTTTAATAGGGTAAAATGCACAAAATAGTAATCTACTTTCATAAATTTCTTAATTATAGCATTGTACTTCTAGTTTTTCTTATTACAACAATGTACTTTCAAACTATTTTTCATTAGAACATTATACTTTGAAAAATTTACCCATTATAGCATTGGATAACCCTTTGATTTAAATTTACCCATTATACCAGATTTTCATGCCACCTCATTGTCCACGTAGGCTGTCCGCATATACTATTGTGATGTGACTTTCTTACTACATGATCATTGTACTTTTAAAACTATTTTATTATAACATCTATTTGTTCTTATTAAACACTGTATTTTAATTTTAATATTTAGATATTTTACATGTTATTTAATAAGTATATTAAATGAATTAAAAAATATAAAAATTATTCATTAATATATCAATATAAATAAAACTAGTAAAACACAACTTATCTCGCTACTATTTTTTTTTAAATATGTGTTTTTTGAAAAAAGAAAATAAGAATTGTTCTTTTTTTACCAAAAAATATTATCTTTTAAATAATGTATTATATTTGTTCAAAAACTTTTACTTGACGTACAAATATATTAAACTAATTTTATTTTTTTGAATTATTTATTAATATAACAATATTAAAAAAATGTAGATCACAATTTATTTCGTTAACATTTTAAAGAGAACTTTAAAATATGTGTATTTATTTGAACAACATAAAATAAGAAATGTTATCTTTTTTACAAACAAAATTAATCTAGAAAATTATGTTTCATATTTATTTTAGAAATATTTTATTCTAGAATATTTAATTTGCATGTAATTTAATAAGGAAAAGTAAAAAAAAAAAAAACTTAAATGTTTTTTTAGATCATAGTAATGAAAAATAAAAATCATTAATAATAATTTGAAATAGGTTTTTGTTTTTGTTTTTTTTTTATTTTAGTTAAATCATCAAAATGATGTATCATCCACATCACCTCATTAAAGCCATAAAAGCAAAAAAAAATCAAGGGTTTAACCGGTTTAAAAGGTAACAGGTTAGTCATTGCTATTATGAGTAGATTTTTTATAATACGATGTCTTAGACCATCCATATAGGGCTTGCAAAACCCTTTCAAAAGGAATTGCAAATGGCCACTTCATCATAATTTTGTCTGACACTTGCAAATTTTGCAATTGTTATTGCAATGCCACATAGGCCCAAACAAACTTTTTTAATACATAAAATTAATTACTCTTATTTAATATATAAATAAAATATAAATACAATCATAATAAATATGTTTAATTAATATAGTTAAATTAATTTAAACATTAAATTTTATCATCACCTAAAATTAAAATTATACATATTAAAACATACTAGAAGCGTACTCGCGCAATGCAGCGAGATACATCGTGTTTTTAATGTTTCATTTTATTCTTTATCTCAGTCGATGTTATAATATGGCTTTATGTGATTTTGAGAAAGCGATGATGTTTTTATTTTTGAATAAAATATATGTTTG